GGAAGAGGAGACCCTGCAGGCAGAGCTGCAGCAGCTGAAAAGCGAGGAGGAGACGCTGGTGCAGGAGCTGGAGGCTGTGGAGGAGCAGCGGGCTGCTGTGGCCAAAGATCTGGCGCAGAGCAGGATTCAGGCTCAGCAGCTGGAAACCGAGGAGCTCCAGTAAGGAGACCCAGACGAGCTTTTATAGCAGGAATGACTTTTGTTTTTATCAGAGCCAATCAAGCAAATTACAAATTATTACACAGAGACTAAGTGTAAACATATTAGTATATTTAACTTTATAATACTGATGAAATAGTGCACACGTGTCAAACTCAAGGCCCGAGGGCCAAATGTGGTCCTCCAGATTCCAAATCAAATCAATAAGTCCTTCCAGATTTTCAACAAATGTGAAAAATCTACAAATTCCCACATTTTTCCTCCAAAACTTAGGGTTTAAGTGACTGATACCTCAGCCTGCCTTGATGTCAAGTTATAGCGCATGATCGGTATGTTGATTTAATAAAAAAAAGTCATGTTTAACATCATACATTAGCTCAAATATCATAAAAATTCCTTAGGACCACAAATCATGATCACTTATCATTGCAATCAAAATCCATCATTTTGATTGCAAAAAACACAGAATAATCACAAAATCCTGGTTGGACTGATCAGTGTGGAAACATGTTCAATATTATTTAACTTTAAGAAACACTTACTGAATATTGAAACAACTATTTATTGATATTTTAACTATTTATGAGTTTGACATCCCTGAAATAATGCATAAGAAACCAGTTTCAGCTGTTTTTTGTTGCTTTTTCAAGAATGCTTTTAATTACTTAATAAAAAATATTCCATGTTTCTAGGGATGCAATTAACAAGTGTTAAGAGTAAAATGAACATTGTTTTTTTATTCTATGAACTACTGACAACACGTCTCTGAAGTTCCAAGCAAAAAAATTTTGTATTTATTTGCAGAAAATGAGAAATGGTCCAAATAACAAAGAAGACACAGTGCTTTCAGACATCAAATAATGCAAAGACAACAAGTTCATATTAATTTAGAAACAACAATTCTAATGTTCTAATTCAGGAAGAGTTCAAAAAATAAATATTTAGTGGAAAAACCAGGAGGTTTTCAAAGGGGTTAATTCAGTGCAGTGGGCTCTTCATTTTTTTCAGAGCTCTATTGACATATAAAGATGTTTTTAAATCCTAAATTACATTTATTTTTTTGTGCAGCTTTGACTTTGTAACTAATCTGACCATTTTTCTTTCAGCAAATTGCTTTTTTTGAATCTACATATGTAACAATTAATCTATTACTTAATGATTAATCAATCATTTAACAATTAATCAGTTAGTTAACGATTAATCAGTTTGCTAAATTGGTTGACAATTTATATAAATAATCAATTAATCATGATTACTCCAATCAATATTTTCAGCTCTACACATTTCACAACTTTTAAACCACAGATTTCAATGGCTTTTGCTCAGATTTAGGGGTATCAGATTAACAGGGGCAGAACCTGCCAATGAAATCCACTGAAGTTCAGTGTCTAAGAGCCCTCTGTGCTCCATGCTTCCAGGTACCAAAAGGAGTACAGTGAGTTCAAACGGCAGCAGCTGGAGCTGGATGACGAGCTGAAGAGCGTCGACAACCAGATGCGCTACTGCCAGATTCAGCTGGATCGACTCAAGAAGACAAACGTTTTCAACGCAACGTTTCATATCTGGTACACACCGATCAGTTTGTACCCAGAAATATTTCTGTGCCGGCTGAAAATAACAGGTCTGCCCTGATTGTTCCCAGGCACAGCGGCCAGTTTGGCACCATCAACAACTTCCGACTGGGCCGGCTTCCCAGCGTTCCTGTGGAGTGGAACGAGATCAACGCGGCCTGGGGGCAGACGGTGCTGCTGCTGCACGCTCTGGCCAACAAAATGGGGCTGAAATTCCAGAGGTAAACATAGTTTGATCTCTTCAATTCAAATATGCTTTAAAGTTTAGCTGAATTTAGATGAAATAATCTCCCAGATATCGACTCGTCCCGTATGGAAACCATTCGTACTTGGAGTCACTGACTGACAAGTCAAAGGTAAGGCGTAAAGATGTCGTCTTCCTAAAGCTGATTTGTCTGAATTGTCGATCAGTTTCTGTTTGTTTTGCATCCAGGAGCTCCCGTTGTACTGCTCGGGTGGCCTGAGGTTCTTCTGGGACAATAAGTTTGATCACGCCATGGTGGCCTTCCTGGACTGCGTCCAGCAGTTCAAAGAGGAGGTGGAGAAGGGAGACACCGGCTTCTGCCTCCCGTACAGGTCAGACGGGTCGTAACTAGTTACATTTACTCAATTACATTTACTTGAGTCACTTTAAAAAGTTAAATTACTTTTAGGTGTATTTTTATTATGTTGCACTGTTGAGTAACTTTATTATGAAGTATTTCTACTCTTACTTGAGTAAAATGTATGAATATTCTCCCACTGAATGAAAAAAACAAACATGTTTTAACCCAAAATTCACCACACACCTGCAGTTTTTTTTGTGACTTTTTTTATTGAAAGAAACTTATTTGTTCATTTTTATTACTTATATGAATTATTGTCATTTTTTGTCTTTAAAATACCAACATTTCCACTGAAGTGTATAATTTGGTTCAGCTTATGATGCCATTTTTAAATTTTCCGTGACTCATAATTTGACCAGTTAGTCAGTACTCGTGTAGACTTTTCAATAAATAGATTTTTATTATTTTTGAACGACTACTCTTTACTTTTATGTGAGAAAAAATGTTGAAGTAGTGCTACTTTTATTTGAGAACAATTGTTGGGTAATCTGCCCATCTCTGTACATGGAGTGAATTTGTTATAAAACTACAAGTACTTCAAGTTTAAATTCTGATTTAAACCAGTTTTATGTACATATTTATAAGGAGGCAGCTTTCAGAAGTAATTATTTATTTTTGTTTTGATGCAATATGAGGCCATAATCCAGATCTGATGGAGTCATGGTGTTTAGGCCAACAAGATATTTTCGATTGCCTTATAAACTGTCCTTATCGAACAATTAACAGATTAATAACCGCATAATAAAATAAAATGAGCTCAATAATATTTTTTGAAAGGCAATTTTGTTTAATACATTTTTTTGTGTGTTTGTTTCATTGTTTTGTTATTGCGTTTTTATTCCGTATATTTAAAATATTTCCCAGTTCCAGTGTGAAGTGTTCTTTACAAAATTAAAAGTTACTAGTCTTTGAAAGAACTATTAATATTAGTAGATTTAGGAATGGTTTTGTAGAGGATTTGAGTCGTAGATGTTTGCCTTCAAACATTAATTTTATTTTATTTTTAGGATGGATGTGGAGAAAGGAAAGATTGAAGACACGGGCGGCAGCGGAGGCTCTTACTCCATCAAAACCCAGTTTAACTCTGAGGAGCAGTGGACCAAGGCGCTTAAGTTTATGCTCACCAACCTGAAGTGGGGCCTGGCCTGGGTCACATCACAGTTCTACAACAGATAAACTAATTCACACTGACTCTGCACAAACCACAAGCTACCAGTGGGATGGATTTCTAACCAGTTCAAGCCTGATTTGAAAATTTTATGGATTTCTGGTTCAAACTTGTTGGTCCACTGTGGAGTAATTTAAGATTTGCACAGCCGTTGAAACGCCATTTTGTGTGTTTTTTGTTATATTTCCTTCACCTTAAATGTTTGGCATTCTCTGAGAAGATCATTTTGCATCAGAAGAAACGTTTTGGTACTTAGACTGCGCTAAGGACCAAGATGAATAAACAACGATGCACCCACTGCAATCCCACTTTCAGATCAGTAGGAGGTATTTCAAGAATTACTGTTCTGATATTTCATTACAATATGTTAGTATGTTATTTGCCGTTTGAGTTTTTAATTATGAGAATTAGCTAATAAAATCCGTAACCTCTGGAAATCAAATTTCTGCTTTCTTCAAACGTTTTTATGGCTTTTATGTTAGAGCTAAACACAAATTAAAAAGATTGGAAAACGTGTTGTCCAAGCATATGTTAAACACACATATAACATAAAGCTCAAAGAATTAAAGTAAGTATTTTATTTATTAAGGGAGAACTGTAATGCCTTAATAATGTGAAAACACAGTTGTTAAATCATGAATTAAATGTGATTGACCACATTTTGTTGGTTCAGATTTTAAGAGCCACAAATTTCTTGCCCTAAAAATATTATGGATGCAAGATATCAATTGAAGAGTTCAATCTAAAGTTGATCTCATCAATGTAATTATTAATAATCATCAATTTTCTTAAAAACTTGAGTTTTCCCTTGTATTACGAGGGTCGACCGTGTTTTCACAACATTATAGGGATAATTTTTCATAGGAATTAAAAGCAAATTGTATTAAGCACTGACCAAATAAGCCGAAAATACAGTAAAGATAAAATGTAACGAAGCAGGAATCTTACCGGGTTGCAAATCTTCTATCATCCCCTGCGCCATTTTGTTAATCTTCACTTTCGTAGCACGTAAATATTTTTTTTTTATATATAAATTGTTGTTGCTACGTCATATAGCTTGATTAAGGGAAAACTTTAGGAGCTTGTTGAGTGTTTATATATTGAAACAAAACCGCATAAAGTTAATTGAGCTGTTCGGACCCCTCATCTTTCCCGTTCTGGAATCACCCCGCCGCCATCTTTGTTTTTCTTTCGAAGGGTCCTCTTAAGAACGAGCAGCGGCGCCCTCTACTGGATGGCGGCCGAACTACAACACCAAAATAAGTTTTCGGACGTTTTTACTTAATCGATTGGAACTAATACTAATCTAATAAACCGCTAATAGTCAGTTAATCGTAAATAGTATTTGCATTTTATATATTTGACTAAAATATCGCATCTAGTTTAGTTTTAAAGATCTTTTTAAATCATGTTTTTGTGGAACACAAGCACTTTCAACTTGATGAATTTGACTTGTGTCAACATTTTTGGTGAGTGAAATAAGACACCATAACCAAATGATAACCAAATACTTTTTAATGATCTCATTAATTATTTCAGTTGAGTCGCAACTCACAACACTCACCCAGAGTCAACCCGCCCCTCCAGTTTAAGGTTAGCAACATTAGGAGGGGGGAATCTAATGGAAAAATATGGACTTCATTAAAATAAAAAGCTGACTTCAAGTACAATTACAGAAAATAGGTCAAAACTAATCACGCTCTCCCCAATCAGCTCTTTTCTGTTTCAAGTCAATGTATTAATTTTCAGCAATTTCAAGTCAACAAGACTGCTTTAATTCTCAGTTGTCATCCTTACAGATATATTTGAAACTGACCATTAGAGATATGATTGACAGTTTGATAGATTTCAAGCAGTATGGGGTAAAACATTATAAATTATTAACTTCTGTAAACTATCCTGAGTATGACCATGTGACTTCCCACATGTCATACATCGAAGCGAGTCAATTGTGCAAAATTTTCCAAACTCTTTTTATTTTAGCATGAAGAAAGTCCCTTTGCGTAAGACAGGGTTTATGTTAGTGCATGCATATCTGCAAATCTTTGGGTTCTACTGAGCCCACAGCTGGAGGCTTGGTCCTGCACCTTTGGACCAGTTGGAGGTCCCATCCTCCAGTCCCGCTCCATTCATAGTTTTGGGGTCCCCTCTTTCCTCTACTCCACATACACACACGAGCGTGTGTGTATGTCCTCTGTCCTTTGGGTTTCCCGCTTCGTTCTTCATGCTAACTTGAGTTGGAGGCACTGCTGCTGTAGCAGCTGGAGGTGGAGGGACTGGGCAGCAGCGACGTCGTGCTGCTGCCCAGGGCTTTACGAATGTTGGGCATCAGGAAAGGGTCGCTGGCCAACTGCAGCACGTCCACGCGGTCCTCCTTGTGGTACGCCAAGCAACGGCGAATAAAAGCCTAGAAAGGAGCCAATAGAGAGAAAATACAAGAATCAATACCAACGTTCAACTGGTGGCTTCAGCTCCACAGAGACGCCAACATTTTTACACATCTTGTCAGAAAGCTAGATTAAAGTGAAATCTTATGCTGGACATATTTAAAAAATGCAAATATTGAGACTAATTCCTCCACAAATAGCATACAAAGGTTATTCATACAAGAAAGAAAAAAACAAAAAGAGGCGAAAGAAAAGGGAATAAAGAAAGTACAGAAAAGGAAAGTAAAAGACAAATCAATAAAAAGAGGAAGAAAAATTAAGTAGATGGAAATGAAAGAAAAGAGAAACACAAAGGAGAGAAAAAAACAAGAGAAACAAGAAAAATGGAAAACAAAAGGAAAGAAAGAAGTCAGAAAAGATCAAAAAGCGTAGAAAAAAGAATAAAAAGAAAGAGGAAGGAAAACTAAAAATAAAAGACAGCAGACAATAGGAAGGAAGAAAGTAAAAGATGGGGAGGGATGATGGATGGACAGACGGATGTATAGATGGATGGACGGACGGACAGACGGGTGGATGGATGAGGTTTGGACTGAGCTTTGACCTATGAACCCAAACTAAAGCGTGTCAAACCTTTGCCTCGGTGGTGACGACGGGTTTCGGGGGGAATTGCACTTCAGTAGCTTTCAGAATGGTGTTTTCTTGGAGGATGTCCTGCTGGGACTGGTTGTGACCAAACGGCTGGGAAAAGGCAAAACGCAGCTGGTTAGAACGTGAAATGAAACCTCACTAATCCATCAGGTGACGCTGATCGGCGGTTACCTTCCGTCCGTATAAGATCTGGTAGAAGATGACTCCCACTGACCAAACGTCGACCTTGTTGGATATTTTTGGAGGGTCTTTCCCCATTATGAAGCACTCAGGTGGTAAATACCTACAAAGTTCAGTCACAACTTAAACTTTCTGCAATGTGGACGCAGTTAAAATAATAATTAACTCTTTAGGTTGTTAAATTTTGGTTTGAGAGTTTACCAGTAGGTCCCTGCTCCCTGTGAAGTCAGATCCATGCCATCAGCAGAGTTGTCGTCATCCACGATCTTGGACAGGCCGAAGTCGGTGATCTTTATCTCCCCACACGCCGTGCCATTAACCAACAAGATGTTCCCTAAAAACACAAAAAAATGAGTCTTTATCAACAAGTCTGAGCATTTAATAAAAATCAGCTGAAGGGTTTGAAAACTACATGCAATTGGAAGGTCTTCGAGAATCCAGTGGTGTTCCACAAGGCTCTGATCTCGGTCCCTTTCTCTATATGATACACACTAACAATTTAGATAAAATGAAAATCAAAACCATTTGTCTGCCAGGTCAGTGTGTGCGCAAGTGGAAGGTCTCCAAGTATCCTGTGGTGTTCCACAAGGCTCTAATCTCAGATCCTTTCTTTTTATAATACATATGAACAGTTAAAATAAAAAATGTCCCATGGCCTAAGCCATTTGTTGCCAAAAGATGATTTATATATAAAAAAAATCATTTTTGCCAAAAAAAAGAATTTTAAGAAGGTGACAGTATGCCAATTCTAATTTTTATGCTGATGACAGTGTCTTATTTTTTGCTGCTAAAACAGTAAAAAGGGCTTTTTAAAGCTACAAGCATCTTTTGATGTATTTATGTGTTTGTTTGAAACGCTCAGAAATATAGTGTTGTTCTTTTATTACAAAAGCATATCTACGTCATGTTTGGTTTCACCCATTATTATTTTTTAAGTCAGATATTTTAGTATACATCTTTATTATTGTTGATTCCCTGGGATTTGTTCTCCACATTCAATAAACATTTTGTAAAAAAGCTGAATTTTTATTCCAGAATTAGATCTTGTTTATTATTTAAGGCAAAAAAATATCTTAATATTTAAAGAGATGTAAAAATGTTTGTAAAAACATTTTGTTCTTAAAAAATGTAAGATTTTTTTTTCAACAGTTAGATTAAATACTTATATTTATTAATTTTGTCAAATTATTTTCCTTCTGAAAAGTTTAAACATATTTCAAGGAATTAATTTTCAAAAATTTGAGATTATTTTTTTTTTGGTGGAAGAAATTTGTAAATTAAAAAAATGTTTTCACTTGAATAAAATAAAAGTGAAACTTTGTGTTTCCCATTTAGCCTCACTAACATGATCTATAATAAAAGAAGGAACATCTTAAAGCTGTAAAAAATTAACAAAGTTGGCTTAAATTAGAAATGACTTTAAAAAATTATAAAAATGTAAGACTGTCTGGTCAACTTGATGTAATGATATATAAAAAAAACGTAATTAGGTAAATTATGGAAATTTACAAATTTTCTCTTAATCACTTTTAGTTTAATCTAATTAAGTCCATTTAATTGAAGTTGCAACAATATCCTTTTTTTATGTTTTGAACGTCTTTTAAGACCTTTATTAATCAGTTTGTACCTTAGGTACTTCTTTGGAAATGCTTTGGCTGATATCAAGTTGTATTTTAGTCTTTTTTTATAGGTGTGTGTGCACTGGATTATCCATGCTGCATTATAATTGCGTTTTGATATTGGTTAATTTTATTATTTGCTGCTACCGTTTTTGGCCATGTTTCCATTTTTTTATTATTTCAATGCGACAAACCTTGTTAAATAAAGATTAAAAACAAACAGAGTTTAATGAAAACATCATGAGGTACCAGGCTTGAGGTCATAGTGGATGATGGGAGGCCGAATCTGGTTGAGATACTTGAGGGCGTTGACGAGCTGCATGATGATGGAGCGTCCCTCCTTCTCCGTCATCGACTTATTCTGCTTCAAGTAGAAATCCAGATCGTTGCCGCCGCAGTACTCCAGCACCGTGCAGAACCTGGCAACAATCGAAACAACAAGCACTTTTGTTCTAATTAGTGATTTCCAGTCGAAACTGGGAGATGGACGAGTTCGCCTACTTCATTAAGTGAAGCTAAACAGTCATCAAGAAACTACAGAATTTTAAAGTAAAATCTACAAATTAATTCAAGTAGATTCCATTTTATTATGTGAACTCTATCAGGATTTCCTCTTATAAGGACGTTAACCATTAGTTATCTGCATTGGCAGAAGATAAATATAACTTCTTACCTTTAGATTTCTAGGATTCAAACGATAAATAGGCTTTATTGTGACTAATCGTTTATAATCAACTAAAACCTAAATTGTTAAATTTAAATGACCAGAGAGCCAGAAAATCCATTAAATTAAAAATTTAAAAATCTTTTTATCATAATTTTTTAAGCTTTTTTTGTTCTAACTGCTCAACAATATTTGACAGAATAACTGATAATTGTTAGTTGTAGCTATGCACATCTTATAAGTTTATGAGTAGAATATTTTTTGAGGAACTTACGAATCTCTGTCGATTGAGAAATAGTCGTAGAGTTTGACTATTCTAGGATGGTCGAGTTCTTTGTGGATCCTGTATTCTCTACATGCATGTCTGCAAACAGATAATGGTCATTAAAAATTAAACATATTCATTAACTTGGAATACAAAATGTTTTTATGGATTTAAACTCACCTGTGGTAGTTTTGCTTCTTCTCCTCTCTCCAGTTCTTATTGAGCTGATGGATTTTGATGGCTACATATCTCTGTTCTGTTAAATCAAACGCCTGAAAAAGAAAACATTTACTTATTTACCAACAGTAGAGGACCGTATTATTATTCAACAGCTGTTTAAATTATCAAATCTTAGTCCAACATTAAGCTAACCCCACGTTTTTCCTCCAACTTACTCAAAAATATAAATGGAGATGCACAGAGCAAATGGAGAAATAACAAAAGAGCGTCTGCTTACTTTAAAAACTTCACTGAAGCCTCCTCGTCCTAATAAACGTAAAAGCAGGTATCGATCATTCAGTGTGGGATGGTCTCTAAATCTGCACAGAGAAAAAAGAAATTTCACATTTCATTTTGTGAATTTTTTTCAACAAAACTCACTGATTTTCTAGTGTTTCTTTAGAAATATTCACATAACATTTGTCATAAAATGCAGGGATTTTCTCTTTTAGACAGATTTTGGACAGTTTAAAAATAAATAAATAAAAATATATATATATATATGTCTATATATATATATGTATATATATATATATATAAATACACATATCTAATTTAGATATCATTAAACTGGGATAATACATACTGCGAGTTATCCTCATTGTGGATTCTCTTTAGCTCCCGAATGTGCAAATTTCTAACCCTCTCCAGCTGCTCCAGCTCCGTCTGGATCTCTGCTTCTTCCTACAAATCAAACACAGAGACGTCTCTCCTCTTTTTCTCAAATGAAACCTGTAGCTCTGACGCCGAACCGGAGGAAGTTGAGAGAAAAGCACCTTTTTTAAACGGCCTATTCGAAGTTTGAAAATCTCCTCTTGTTCTCGATACGCAGCCAGCGACAACCTGGATGAGATGGGGTTGGAAAACTCAGATAAGACAGATTAAAAATAAAAACTTCAGGCTTTGTGTTACAGTTTGTTCCATTAATATTGTATTTTATTACAAACTGAATAAACAAGCAGCATGTTGACATATTTATTCCCCTTATATTTCTGCATTTTGACACGTCAACTATAAATCCGACTTTATTTTATTGGGATTCTACCAGATAAATTTTATCCCAACTATAAAACATGATTTATAGTGAGATACTTTCTAACATAAAACATTTTGCAGAAAAGAGTCAAACTTGTGAGTTGTGCAAAACAAGTAGATAAAAACTTTAAAAAAGTGATTTGACAAGTTATTGCTTCATTCAAAGGCAAGCCACACTGTTCAGATATATTTTATGTCGGCCAATCGCATAAAATCCGAATAAAACACATTGAACTTTATGGTTTTACAGTCATAAAATGTAGAAAGGTTCAGTAATTTTCAAGGATCTCAAGCACCGGTATGAACCCTGCAAGACGCATGAACACATTTGGGAATTGGTGAAGAAATGAGAAACGTAAATTTTTGTGCGTACGTTTCATTCTCCTGGCCGTTGCTTCTGCTCTTTCGCTTGTTCTGCTCCATGTTTGGTGGAGGCATCTGGACCGTTGGAGGCTTCCTCTTTCCCAGCAGCTTCCTCTGCCTCTCGATATCCTCCCGCTGTGAGTTGATTTGCTCCTGCTGCCTAAAACACAGAAAAAATAGCAAAATGCTGTTAACACCTTTACTTTTGTGTCTATAGGCAAATAAAATAGATTATTACAGTTAACTAAAACTAACAAAATGATGAAAATGGAATAATTACAACAAATTGCAGTTATGTTTTGTGTTAGTCAAAACAACTAAAACATACTGAAATTATAGATACTAGTTTTCATGTTTATTTACATATTTTTTAACCTTTTCCCCAACTTAAGCAATTTACCTCGGCTGTCGCCAAATTACGGCAAAACAGCGGCAGCACAAGCTGAGAGAAATTTTTCAATTATTGTTATTGAACAATAACTGATTATATTTTTTGAAAATTTTAACTTTGGTGTACGATAATTGATAATCAGGCCTTTTTGAATTCTACACCTAAAAATAAACCAAAGTATGTAAAAAATTTAAACCGTAACTAATGAAAACTAAACTGAAACTAGTAATAAAAAGTGACAAATAAAAATGACAATGAAAAACCCAAACTATCATAATTCAAATATTGAATATTGAAATATGCTCCAGAACCAGCGTTTATCCGTCTTAAGAGATAAAACTTCCATTAATATGGTTGAAAATGGTTCTAAAACAACAATATTATTGTTATTGGCGTAATTACAGGATCAAGTTATCGTCCAGGAAAATGTTTACTGACTTGATGAGTTTCTGGAAGGCGTATCCATCGGTCCATTGCTCCGTGAAGGACGCTCCGTGGCGAACGGTGGTGAAGTGACCCAAACGCAGACGATCCTGCATGCTCTTGTCCCTGCAAGCCATTTTCTCCCTCTTTGACTTTAAGAACAGTAAGAAAAAGGATTAAGAACTTAAAAATTAAATGAACTGTTTATAGCAAAGGTAAAAATTGAGCACAAGCTAACCTGCTCAATTAGCAGCTGCTGGCTTATTTTCACACATTTGTTCAGCCGCTCCTTGTAGCGCTCCAGCATCTTCTGCTGCTCATCGACCTGACGCCTCAGGTCACAGTTAGACTGCAAAGACATAACCAGACAAAACAATATATATTTTTATGAAGAAATGCATCATTTATTATTAAAAAAAAAATCTGGTACAAAACTAGAAATTCTTCATACCTGTAAAGTTGTATTTCGAGCAGGAAGTATTTAAATATCTCACCCTCACCAGGTCGTCTATCCTTCCTTCGGTCCTCTCCAGGTCAGAGTTCTTGACCTTTTCTATAGCTTTCAGTTTCAGCAGCGTCAGATCTGACTGAAAAAGTAAGCACATAAAAATCTCCTTCTTAAAACTGGATGTTGTTTACATTACATGTGAATAGCAGTGACGAGGTTTCTCTGTTCTGACAATTAAATACATCACTATAATCATTTTAAAATAAATTGCAACATAATGTTTTGACTCCATCAATCAAAATATTAGAAAATGAAAAAAATTAACTTTTACTTTTTGCATTGTTTTTTCAGTTTGGTGAAAAAAAAAAAAAAAAAGAAAAGGAAAAATAAATGCTGTTATAAATTCTGCTCCAAAATCAAAATTTTTCCAGAAAAAGGCTGTGCGTTTGTCTCTTACAACTTAATATAAACAAAATAATAGCTAAACATTTTGTACAACATAGACGTGAATGAAAACTCACTTAATCCGATCTTAAAAGTTTCAAAAATGGTCAAAAAATAATTTTAATAAAACTCCAGTTGTCACGCCAAATAAAAAAAATCAAAATTAATGGAAGGGTAGAAAAATAACTAAATTAATAACAACAATTCCAAATACAAAAATTAATTAATCAGGTTTCAAGCTAACTTAAATATACTCTAACTTGCATAAATATTTACAAAATCTGAGAATGAATAGCCACAAGTTCACTAAATAAAAATACAGAAGAAAACGACAAATGTTTGAGTTTGGGAGTGAATAAAATGATTTACCTGGATTGCTTTGTGTGAACAGGAAGTTGTAGGAGCCGTCTTAAAGGAGCAGCAGGAAGAGGAGTCGGTGTGGGCGGAGCCTATGGACGAAGGGCTGCCATTCTGAAAGCACAGAAACAATTAATAAAACAATCATTTCTATACAGTCACTGGAATACTAACATTTTTAAAATCAGCATTTACTGGATTTTTTTTTGTACAAAGTTACTACTGGTTTTTTTTGGTCACTAGTGACAGTTTGGTCCAATTAAGCTGGTAGGGCTTAAAGTTTAATCACTATAATTTATAATATTATTGTGATAACAATAAGTGTCTAACTTTAAAACAAACTCAATTTTATTTGTTGTTTATATTGTTCTATTTATTTTGCATATTTAAAATGTTTTTCAATGGTAAATGTTCATTAGAATTTAAAGTAGTTGTTTTTTTTTTTTTTGCATCAATACGCTATTAACGTTATAATACTTGAAAATGGTCTCAAAACAATATTATTGTCCATCGCGATAATTTCTGGGGCAATTTATCGTCCAGCAATATTATCGTAAAAAGCCCGACAATAATTGTGTCACAGCAATTATTGCCCCACAAACCCAAACAGCGCATTTCAAAAACATTCCCATTTGAAATACACAATAAAAAATTGATTTTTATCACTAAACTGTAAATTATAATTGTTGTTTTTTTATTTATTTTTTTTATTGGTATTTATTGATGATTTTATTGAACAAAAAGTAGTGAAAATAGTAAAACTACCCAGCTTGACAATAAGGGCAATTTTTCATTTAATTTAAAGATTAAATTAAATTTATAAATATACATTTTTGCCATGATGACAGATTTTTCATGTCTATGATAATTTGTTGCTTTGCTGATAAAAAGAAATCCACAATAATTGAGCATTTTAAACAATTTTTTTTTTTTAATTCTTGCACCCTAGTGCCTTTAACTTCCAGTGAAACAGTTTGGACATAAAAAAAAGAAAAAAGAAAGAAAATCAGAGAAAGATGAATCTAAAAGGAGATGATGAGGAGCAGAGCAGACTCAAGATGGACGCCAGTTCTCACCGGAGGATAAGACAGAGAGCACTGCGAAGAGGAGCGCAGCAGCAAATGGACGCCTCGCGCAGGACTGGCGCCAGAGCCGCTGCTACCAGCAAACTGGGTGAGGGGCAATTTGGAGAAGGAAACCAATCAAGAGAAAGGGAAGAATAGTAATTCAGTAAAAGACGAGTAAAGAATTTCCCTACACAAGCCTGAAGTTTAGACAGGAAAGCTTGAAGGAGAGTTGAAGTAAGTTGCACATGATAGAACTGGACTCACCTCAAAATAATCATTCAGCTTTTGCCCTTTTCCTTTTCCTACAATGAATCAGAAAAGGCACAAAAAAAATTAAACAATTCAATTTATTGTTTAAATAACAGACAAACAGAAAATACAAGAGACATTTTTTTGTAGTTACATTAATCTTAACTTGTTTGAAGAGGAGCATAAACTCATACTATGTTTTCAGATGTAAAATAAAATAAAAGTTACACAAATTAATAGTAAGAATTTTACGCAGCATAGACATATACTGACATATATTTAAGTCTAAATAAATACATACATTATTTACCACAACATTTTATTCTTATTGGCCAAAAAGGTGTCACCGACGACACATTTTTACAAGCCAACTTTATGGTACCGTAACTCTGCGAAACTTTGTGCTATCTGAAAAATGTCAACGGTTTCTAAAAGGGGAGTCATTACGCTTTCCGTTATTATGGTTATTTCACTCCCATCATTCCCGGGAGCATCTTTTGCTGTGGTTAATTCTGGTGAAATACTTTTAATAGACGGTAATTTGTTACGGAGAAATGGGCAAAAATATTTACTCACAGGACATTTAACTCTGTACAATTAAAACAAGCAAAAATATTCAGGTGGAAATGTGAAACTTTGGTCTTAAAAGTTTAACAACTTCTTGACGCTGACATAATTAAATCTAACAGCTGTAGCGAAAAGCTCAGGTTTGAGATGTGTTTGACTTTACATTTACAGTCTAAAGTTAACCAAATATGTGATTAAAATCAGTTAAATATCAAATTATTTTAATGTTTTGTTGGGAAGCAAGTTGGGCATACCCTGGTTGCTGCTGTCGAAGATGTCGCCTTTTCTTTTCTTGCTTCTGCCATTGGCCTTTCTCTCCAGAGACTGAAAGAAATAAAAATCAGCTTCTATTTTTAAGTGTTTTAAAAATACCTGCACGAACCACCCGGACACAATGAAAAACAAAAAAATTTAAGTGAGATTGACTTAAACAAAAAATTAAACATGTTCTTCACCTAATTCAGTGGTTCCCAAAGTGGAGTGCACTCCCTATAGGGCAGGTGTGTCAAACTCATTTTTGTTTTGGGCCAAATCAAGATCATGAAAGCTCTTAAAGGGCCAGTTGTGCCAGAATGTGTTGATAAAACCTGTTCACAAACTGTTAATATGTCAATAAATTCTTAAAATTACATAATATTATTGAACATCTTTTCAGTCCCTTGAGGAACTAATAATAAATGCGACTGTTTATTTACTCGCTGTATAAATCATGGTCTATAATCATACATGAACTAAATTCTCAAGAAACTGGAGGCATTGATTGATATAAATTGGCAGTAAACAGATAAAAAGTGCATTTATATGATTGATAATATAATATTTTATCAAACTTAGTGTTTAGTCTACATTGTAGAGGGCCACATAAAAAGCTTTGGCGGGCCGAATTTGGCCCCCAGGCCTTGAGTTTGACACATGTGCTATAGGGAAGAGTGCCATTGCAGGGGAGCGCAGGAAGCAATATTGATGAATGAAAAAAAAAAAAAAAAATTACACAAAAGTGTTTCACTGTAAAGATGGTTTATAGTTGGTTTTGTTGCAACCTGAAGAGTGATATAAACTTCAGTGTTGTTTGAAATCAAAATATGTGTACAGGTTTATGTCTGGTCGACGATGTGTGTGCCCACACATTTTTATTGTAATTCATAGGGAGGGCCAGAAAATCTTTGGGAACCACTGACTTAATGCAAACATGTAACTGCAATGATTGTATTCCTGTAGAAAAAAAAGCTAATTTCAACTTAAGAAGATAATAAAAAAAAACATTAAATAACTTTTTTCCCGACTAACCTCTGGTTCCTTGTCACTGAGAGACCCAGCGCTGCACTGAGACTGGTTTGATGATTCAGAAGTCTGCAACAAACACAAACAAAAGACATGATCTCCTGCGTCAACATATGCTAAATATTGAAATCTGAGAGGTTAAAATACATCTTAGAGATGATTGGAGAACATTTTCTGACAAGATTATTTGGAAAATTAATTAAATTAATTCCTTACAATAGCAACAAAAAACATTTTCCAACGTCTTAGTCCAAGTTAGGTGAAATTTCGGTTTCATGGAGTCAAAAATGTTTTAGTTTTCATGAAGATAAAGAAGCTAGTGCAAATTCTTGAACTAATTATCCTTGTCTCAAAGCACAAGAATGACTAAATTCATTCACTCATTTATCAACTTGAGAACCTGAGTTTTTCCACAAATACATCTTAGGACTAGCTAAATCAAATAATAGTTGCTTTTTGTTTTCCGAAGAGGGAAGTAGAAATAGTTTTGAGCAATAATAGCCGACATTTGCATCATATCATGCACCCGGCTTGAGCTGTGGTACCATTTCAGTGTCACTTATTTCTAGAGAAACAACGAGCTGCTGGCCAACATCCATGTCAGCCAGCACAGAGCTCTTCTTGTTTTACCTTCAGCCCAGTAAAACAGACCGTTCTGCTCAAGAAGAATCCCTGAACGCAGAACAGAGAGGACTTTCAAACCTTTCTAAACTCGAACACAAACATCATTCTGTTACACTTAGGCACTACTCTCTACTTCAAGACTATGCCATACATGCTGGGTGAAAAACTGATGTATAAATTTATTTTTATTGTAAATAAACAAAATCAGTTGTATTTCCAAGTTCATTTTTAATTTAAGCCAAATTTTATTGGCTTAAATTATAGCCAATAAAATTTGTGGAGAGAATTTTTGTTTTGACCAGGTGGGCAGAGTGCCCACAAACTGTACTCAAGTCCGAAGAGTAACACTACTTCAGCTTCTAGAAGCCTGGTATGTTTGATCCATGTCACCTCCATGCTGGGTTTGTTGAGTTGTTTGTTTGGTTGAGTTGGTTGGTTTGTTTTGTTGAGTTGGTTAATTGGTTGGATTGGTTTTGTTGCGGCTGTTTGATTTTATTGGGTGGGTTGGTTGGTTGCTTAGGTTTTGTTTTGTTAGGTTGGTTGGTTTTGTTGATTTGATTTGGTTTTGTTGGATAAAGATTTCAGATTTCACAAACACTGTTTCAGATCGCACGAGTCACATGATCAACAGCAGAAAAGGGCTACTTTGCATTGTCAAACAAGTTTTATTTTTTGGGGTATCTAATTTTAGGGTAGTAAAACCTCAACCAAAAGCTGCACTTAGGACTAGCAGTTGGTTTGATAAGTTTTGTTCCCTTAATAAAAGAAATCATAGTAAATTGATTAAGTTGTCTTTATCTGATTGAAATTAATTTATTGATCAGAAATATTTAAGTGAGACAAAAATCTTGAAGGGGCAGAAGTGTATACCAACCTTGGCAACACCAACTCCTGTGAATCGAGCCTCGAGAAGTTCCTGCCGACGTGGGTCGAGGCTGAGACTCTGGCCCTGAAGTCCTTCCATCATGCCTGGAGAACAAAACCAGTGAGGAAAATTACAACTAAGCCGGGTTGGGTTGGTGTCACAAGAACCAACAAAGACATTCTGTCCCATTCAAGCAACAAAAGATGACATTACTGACAGTGAAATGGTTCACCTGGGGCTAAATTAGAGTAGCAAATGTCACAGGTAGTAAAAAGCATGATTGTTTTATTCCTTCGAGGAAAATTTCTAATAAAAAAAGATTGCCGAACCCTATGGAGTTTTTTGGCACGGCTGATTATGGCTTATAGCTAATTGAAGCCCAAAATTCAGTTGTTAGGTAATCAGAGGCCTGTCACAATTATGAGTTTTGCTGGACGATAAATTAGTCCAGTACGATTGTTTTGACACCATTTTCAAGTACAATAATGGTATTATATAATAATGTAAGAACACATTCTTAAAGACAAACTTAAAATTTTCATGAACACTTAACAGTGGCGCTGGAAAACATTTTAAATACCCAAATTAAACAAATGAAACAACAGAAATAAATAAAATGGATTATAAAGATTCTGTAAATAAAATTGTTCTTCAAAAAAAGGGTGAGTTCAGCACCAGACTGAAGACTTTTGTCACTGTTTTTGGTAGAAAAGAAGGAAAAAAGACAGAAAAGAAAAAATAAATTATGCAGAAGAAAATTATTGAACTCATTTTAATTGATCATGCAATTAAAAATGTATTTCTTATTGTGACAAGTCTAAATAAGAGCTCAACAAAAAGACAACCAAAAGAAAGATTTTCAGTGTAGAAATGTTAGTAATGGCCAAGCAATGTCCTTCCAAAAAATTAAAGACTTTTGACTCAACAGTTGTACTGCTCATTCTGAGCCTGGTTCTGGTTCTGATGGAGGTTTGATCCTGTTAAAGGGGACTTTTCCCTCACCACTGTTGCTACATGCATTCTCAGTATGATGGATTGCTGCAAAGTCAACAACGCAAGCAACTGCTAAAATGTATGTCAGTGACTCGAGGCAATCTGCTGACAGAAAACCTTTTAAGGTAATTATATCATGAACTGAACTTAATTGGAATGTATTTGATTGAATTGACTTTTTTTTTGTAAATTTCCTCATGAAAACATGTTCAAACAAACCGACCATACATGCATACACTACAACACATGAGCATAGTTTTCTAAAGAGACATTTCTGCTTTAATGTTTATTGGTCTTATGTTATATTTTAGTTTTCTGAAAAACATAATTCTAAATTTTAATTATTGTAGTTGAAAGCCAGAAATCCTTAACAGAATAAAAAAAATACTTGAAATTAATGAGTTTATTAATACAGCCTACACCAATTAGCAATTGCTTTTTAAATAAAATAATTTTTTAAAATTGAATTTTAATTATTAAAATAAAATGTTTCAGTCATTTTCTAAGTTATTTAGAAAATAAGAAAAAGCAACAGAGGATATTTTTTTTAAATTGGCATCCTTGGAAATGTGTTTGTATTTTACATTTTTATATTTTATATTGTTAATATTGAAATCCAAAATTAATCAAATGTTCTAAAAAAAAGCATTGAAAGACCTAGTATCCGACAGGACATTGAAAAATAAATGCATGCTAGCAAAAATAACAGTAGATATCACATTAAGTCAGTATTTTTATTGAATAAACGGAAGAAAATACCTGTAATGATTCAAACTGCACAGAAACAAATGGTTTACTTTTAGAAAGAAGCTTTAACAACATGATTCATGACAGTTTGGGTCGTTAAACCGTGTTTAACGTAAATACTGATTAAAATATTTAACCAGTTTCACGGAAATCTACTGAAAAGAAGTCAGATTAAAAACAGTCGACGTCCCTCGGATTGAGATTACCTAACCTGTCCAACGTTGGCCGTGCTAATTAACATTTTATCCTACAGTTAACTTATCAAAAACAAAACTGCATCTCACCAAAAAGGTTGTCACAATGGAATAAGCACCAGAAACAAACAGTAATAGCAGCACAAAATGAGAGCGACTAGCAAGGATAGCGAAGTTACCTCGCGAGCTAAGGTTAATATTAGCCAGGACGAAGGTCTCACCTGGAAAACCTTTAGCAGTTTTCACAGCCAGATACGGTCCTATAAAAGATGTGGTCCGTCCATTTCAGAGTCAGAAAACTCATCAACAGCTCCTCGGTCCAAGCACCCGATATAACTCTGTTTGAACTGAGATATCCATTTATAATCAAGTCAAATTTGAGGAGACACTTGTTAGCTTAGCTAATGCTAGCTACACAAAGCGGTGCGGCTCGCTCGTGCCGGTGTCATCCGGACGGAAGGCCGTGATCCTCGGGTTTTCCTCGTCTGAGTCGTTGGCCCTGCGCGGGCAGGCCGGGAGCTGTCAATGCTCTGAATCCCCTTAAACAAGTGTTGTCACATTTCTGCCTCGGTTGATCTAATCTTTTGGCGTCATCGAGCGTCAAAAGCGGCAGGAGTCGGTGTGTTTAAGTCCATCGTTAATTCCTAATGACAAAAGATCACAACCTTCAGTATCACCAAGGCCGCACAGGAGCTCCAGAGGAAACTGACACTGATGTTTCCCAAGCCGAGTGCTGGCTTGATGTAACCTCCACCCCGATTTACAATGCACACAATGATCAGGGCTGAAACTGGGAGGATAAGAAACCTTTTCAAGGACCCAGACCTCCAGGGGGTCTGTGCAAGCAAACCTTATCATTTAGGATGCATCAAGTCACTTTAACCACATTATCTCTCTCTGGTTACATTATTATTACGCAGTTATTTCTGACCCAGCTTGTGTAATTTTAAAAAAGAAAATGCATTTGTTTTGATTCCTTTAATTTGACATGGCAAACATTAAATGGCATATTTTCAGTCCAGACGATGAAGGTAATCTTTTTTGCATGTGGAATTCAGTAAACTGATTTTAGATGCATAGACCTTATTGTGATGGGCTTTTACCATATTGTGTATCATTTATTGTGATGAATTTTCTAGCACGAGCTCTCAAAACTGTCCGCATTATTGGGATTGTTAGTTTTCAATGAAAATATCAATAAATATGATTAAATGCAGTATCTGTGTGCAGTTTAGTGATAGAAATCACACTTTTTGGTGTGTAATTGGTGTTTTAAAGAAGCATGTCACTGATGGGAACATTTTTCTAGAGCAATATTTGTGTTTGCGGGGCTTTGATCGCTTAGCTAAAACGGAGGTAATAAATATTTCTTATCGTCATTTATCATTATCATGATACCACAAAATATTGTGATAAACTTTAAATTCAGATTAAGTGTAATCTGATCATGTGATTAGCAAAGAAATCATCATCTACAACATGTCTACAATACTTTCAAAATTATTTGTACATTTTGAACTTTTCCACATTTTTTCATACTGTCACAGTCTTCAGTTTACTTTACTAATGGAAAGCATCCCCTCAGCATGATGCTGCAACTGCCATGTTTCAGTGCTGGTATGATTATGTGTAGTTTTTATACCCATATGGACCAGAAAGTTCAGTTCTGATCTTTTCTTAGCCTTTTCTTCCTTATGTTTATAGTTTCCTTTCCAGGGCCAGTACAATGTCTTATGGGGGCTCAAACATGACTGAAACATGATAAATTATTTTTATTTATCCAGGGTGTACACTACTTTATTTTGGTTGATTGCACAAAATCCCTATAATGTGAAGACTGTGTTTGTGACATGTCAATTCTAGGTAATTTTCAAATTTCTATAACTTTTCCATAGTCCACAATAAATATGTGAACTCTGCAGAAGCATGATCTCATATTCTGAAATATTATAGGGCAGAGCAGTTTTTGCTCTCAGTCCAGCTCAATAAAACTTGTCACATAACATTTTGTGAAAAAGCATCTTAATATCTCCAAAAGGAAATAGATGGTCATTTTTAAATAACCACCATTTTATTTTGGTTTTTGGGTTTAAAACAAAGAAAACTATAAACATTTACAAAAACAGGAGTGCTGATGTTTGCTTTAAAATGGTATAAGAAAAAAAAACAGTGTTTCCAACATAATGATAAGGGAAAAATAATAAACATTACTCATACTTCAGTCATGTTGTAGTGAAAATTTAATGCAGGATTTCTTTTAAAAAAAGTAAATAAAATAAAATAAAAATGCTGCTAAAATCTTTATTTGTTGTATCTACATTTACAAAAAAGAATGTTAGTTCTGCACTAGATTTTGAGCACAATTAAAGAACATGCTACCATCACTTTGGATTTGTCCCAGATATTTGTAGATTTGATGTATTTGTCCAATAGAAGTCTTTGAATGCTCGTCATAAGGTACATAAATATTTGTGTCACTGCCAGAACTTTTTACCAAAGCAGAATTTCATCCATCTCACTTTAAGTTGTAGTGAAAAAAGAATCCGCCTGCCGTTTTGTGCTGCTCAACAGGTTCCACTAGAGGTCGCTGTTTGACAGTAGAACATCACAAAGAGGAGGAAATTTACTGAAACTGCGTGAGTCTAAATTAAAAGTTTAGAAATCAGTCAGATCCCATTTTGATCATTGTTTTGTACTTTACACTAACACAGACGTATTTTGAAACAATCGGTGCAACAAAGCCTATGTTGTTTCTTTTAAAAGTGTTTCTTTTAAAACTTTGAAAAGGAACACACATTTGAGACCAAAATGTCTTCTTGTGACATTAATTCACATTAATCCCATCTGGGAAGCGAAATCCATTATTTATGATTTATGATCAAGATCTAATGCAACATTTGAAGCAGGTCTCATTAGTTGGCAGCAATTCACCTGACAAAAAAGTTTATTTGGCACATTTCCACTGAAATGTTGTGATCAGGAAGCAGCATCCTTACGTTTGGTTTGACTTTTAAATCATGCTAAACCTCCTATGGTCATGGTCATATTTCAAATGGATGTTACTAATCCTGCATAACATTTTCAGAAAAAATCACAAGCCTTTAAAATCCCCAGCTTATAAAATAATAATATAAAAAGACTTTTATCAAAATCTATGTTTTCATCTTTTCATTATGCCTTAGATATTCATAAAAATCTAAAATGTTAATTTTAAAAACAAATAATTCCCTTCTAAAGCAATAAAAAAAAGGTTTGGAAGTCAGTTTAATACACATATGTACAATATACACAATATACACAATTTATATATGTATATATGATCAACATCACACAATTTCTGTTAGCTTTTTTATTCATTGTTTGTTTTTAGAGATGCCTTGTTAACTTTAACTGATTTTAAATTCTCGACATATGTCAAAGGTGTCTGTGGGGAAGGAGGATGTGAGAGTCCTTAATTCAAAGTAATATTTTGTGGGTTAAACTATTTATGATAAGATCCTGAGCAGATTTTTGAAGAAGCTGTGTGTGGGTAGTTTATGGGACCCACAGCTCACGCTTTGTTAAATAATTATGGGTGAATGTTAACCCGTTCCTCTGTTCTTGAAGTGATTATAATACGGTTTCGCAGGATACACGCTGTAAAATGACCACAAGTTTGTGGCTAGAACATTTACTGCACAGCTGTGTCTCTACATTTCTCTGTTCTTTTGCTCTACTTTGTTGTGGCAAAGCCTTTACAGTGACATTTCAGTGACTCTGCATAAGTTTTAAAGTGTGGATGATGTGTCACACTGATCAAGGCCAACAGTCCTGCAGTTTGGGTGGTACTAGTATTCCTCAGTACCAGTTACTATTTTAGACTTCTTTTATGGAAACAAATGGCCTGAGTAAGTAAAAAATTGCACCCTATAACATTCTGAGTCAGTAGTTACCATTGCTAAAAAATTAAATTACAAAAATAAATTTGCTAATGGAAACAAAGCTATTTGAAAAAGTTAACTCTTTTTGATAGTTTTTGCACTTGGATGAGGTGATAATGGTTTTTCAGCCATATCTAGACACTTTTTTCACATCACGCCAGCCATGTGATCACTACAAGAGAAACCAACAAAGAAGATAATGACAGGGAGTAGCAGGAGGGTGATGGTTTGCTTCTCACCCCCTTAAAAAAACTTCACATAAGTAGCTGCTCTGAAGTATAAAAGGCCTGGTGCTCCAACACCTGAATAAAAAGCTGACTATGGGGGAATATTTCTGCCATAATTCAAGGGCACACATTTTCAGTCTGGAAGCAGGATTTAGTTTTTTGTGCTAACATTTTCAATTTGACAGCAAAACTTTGTGTCTTTCTTCTCAAAAGTTGTAAGGCTTGTACTCAAAACTTCTGCTCTCTTTCAAATCTTCACTGTGCTTTCTCAAACCTTTCATCTTGTCTCACAACTTCTGTCTGCTCAGCGCTTGGAACGAAAAAGTACCATCGCCTAGCAACCTCTCAGCCAATAGAATGAGAGTGTTATACCTGGTGTGTTTGTTTACTTAAAGTGGGTGTGCCTGAGTGGCTATACTATTAATTATAGAAGAAATATTTAAGTCCCGTCTGATGGCTGACGTAAGAATATAACTCATGTGGCTATGTACATCCATCGCTGCCATGAATTTTAGTGACTTATTGGATGAACAACCTTATTCATGTGTGATTTAATTTTTTTTTTTTTAATGAAGACATTAAATAGCTTTCGTTTTGAAATTGAGTCTGTAAAGCCTTTTTGACATAATTTGCTGGACTGCAAAAAAAAAAAAATAAATAAAAAGGCAGAAAAGGTTTGGACAGATTGTCTTTTGGTTGTCCCAGTATCTCATATCCTGGGACCTGGCAATATTGCCAAGTATCTTTTCACTTCCTGGATGGGATCAGCTGTTGCACTTTTGGTCTTCCTGCCCACTTTGATGTTGCCAAAAGTTAACTAAATCCAACAAATTAGCAGTAGAATTGGCATTTGTACGTTCTTGAACTGAAAAAGATCGGAGGTTCTTTTGGCAGGTGCATCCCGTGGACAGAAATGCTTCCTTAAAGACACAATTTATCTTGTCAGTGTCAACTCGAAATAGTTCCTGTTTATGTCATGTCACTTTCTTATAGCGATATGCACAACGACACGGTGTTTCCATCCATTAGCTTTGATGCGTTGGTGTTATTGAACCCTTCAGTAGTCAGAACTGAAGCAAAAATGGCCTGAATACATCAAGTATCTCAACACGTTGATTAACAGGCATTCATCACCACTTTTAAATTTCTGGCTAGTGTGCTGGTTTGTTAGGTCTCCATGCTACTGGCTGTAGGCAACATTTTTCTCTCCTTCTTCCTCCTCATTAGAAGACAAGTTGCCAACAAATCTGCATTTTATGTTCTTCTATTCAAGCTGGAGACTTTGCAGTCTCTACTTTCTTCTTTGATCGTCATTGTGTCATGTACTCATTTTGACCCCAGGGGTCTTTGGGCAACATTTTCCTCTTTGTCAATTTTTAGAAGTCACCTCAGCTTGTCTTCTTGTTGCTTTTTTGATATATTTTCAAACTTTCAGATATAAAATGAAAGCCTTTTAAACACGACATTTATATTGGAAAGACATGAGGGGGAAGCAAGACTTTATTCTGGTCTAAGCAACAAAATTAATTGTAAATCATACAAAACAACTATTTTCAGCAGTGAGATATGAATGACTAACCCTGATACAAATGCTTCTTCAGAAAAATTTCTA